GATTCCATATGCACATGGCTTTTAAGTTATGAGAAGTACAACTGTAGTTCATCAAAATGTGCCCCAAGGCATAATACCATTTTACTCAGTCATTAGAAAGTTTATCATAATTGCTTAGCATAATCCAAAGAAAATATGAATACTGACGTTGGGGACGCTCCAATTTGTTAGGCAATTGTTCCATAAATTTTGGCACTGAAATAATCCACATGTTGAAAAAGCAATTAATCACTGGTGTTAGTTATCAAGCTATGATTTTAGCTGTTTCCTTGTAAATTTGACCTGAAATGACAAAGTTCCTTATTTTATTTTTGTACTATTCTGATTTCTGAGATCAAAAGTTTAAATATGTCAATCTTGTCACAGTTGACCTCAGTTTCATGTTATAAATTTTCTAAAATAAGTAGATTATAACTTTGTATTTACAAAGATAGATGGTAGTTCTTCCACTGAATATTTGGATAAAGCGTTTAGAAATATATAAAAACATAGACTGGTTACCTCAGAAGAAGATACTGGAAGTCTTTAAATTAGCATTTTGGTCCCAACTAGGTAAATTTATTCTCTGTTGGAATTTGTATTGAAAATCGGACCAAAGGAGAGAACACACAATTTGATTTTCAACTTTTAAATATTTTACCAACCCATTGACATAGTCACATTATTATGTCATGGTGAATGGTGAATTACCATCTATCATCATATTAATCTTATACTTATTTTGGATCGTAAGGATGAGTAAATGTAATCGCCATGGTGCTGTGTAGCAGTTTCCTACTTGTTTATTAGCAATCACACACACACACACACACACACTCACACACGCTACTATTTTGAATATTTTGCTTGCCAATGTGTGTGACTTTGGAGTTCATAGTTAAAATAATCCAGGGATCTAGAAAGAAATGTTGTAAATGTTAGTCTGGGCTCAGTTCAATTCATTCAACTACATGCAGATACAGTGCAGACTTAGTAATATAAATGAACTCTTCTCTGCGCACATGATTTATGCATCTGTACCTCATCACTCACAGAACAGTTTTTGGAAACTTAGCCTCTGCAATATGTTGTAGGTTTCCAACTCCCAAGCAGGTTTCCTGATTCATTGTAAAGTTATTTATGCTCCCACTCTTCTGTGTTTATTTTCAAGTGGCTGCGGTATCGGGCCGTTTATTATTCAGTTGTGCAATGCAGTGATTTTTCAAAATCCAAAATACCAGGTAGTCATACTAATTTGTGAAAACAATCTTCAAACTAGATTCCTCAAATGGACCATGTGGTATTTGGTCTCAGTGCTTATTTTCCCAATTTTGAAATTACAGGGCAAAAATGGCTTCACTTTCTGATGGATCTTGTTCTTGAAAATTGATTCAAAATAGTAACTTATGTGTGTGATTATTAATAAACAAAATTATGTAGAATGAAATACTTATGTAACTTGTAAGTTTAACCTAAAAATGGAACAAATAGCATAAATTCTCCACTATGCATGTTTGCAACTAGGACTTTCAGATATTAAAACAACCCGGAAAACAGCTCCTGATGCTGGGTCCTTGCTGAACCCCTTAATTTTCCCTAATCCCCACTTAAAATCTATTTCTATTCCTCACACTTACTTTTCTCCATCTCTGCTCCAGTTTGGGCTTCTATTCCTGCACTGGCTCTAGTTTTATTACTTGGACTTTGGGAATATGTTTTCAATGACGATTGACATTTCCTGTATATTATCACCAAAGAGCCTGAGAAATGATTTCTGGGAGAATTTCAAACTGAACAGAAAACAGACTTCATTTAGGAAAATGGCCTTTCCAGCTCCTGAATAGCTTGAGGCTGTAAGATAATACTTTGCAGGAAAAGACAATCCTCAATTTATGACTTAATTTTTAAGTGGTGGCTGCAAATTGAACCATGATTTCCTAAAAGCTCAATGAACTGCAGCACATATACCAAAAGTGGTCACGGAAATATGTGAAATTTAAAGATGCTTTAAAAAGATTTGTAATGGATTTTACTTTATTAAACGTAATTACATTTGCAATAAAAAACAGATACTCCTTTCTGGGAGCTATTTTTACGTGGGCTGCATGGTTGAGTAGAAGGGACATTGTTGGTTGTCTCTGTGGTATCCGTATCTCCCCTAATATGGCACGAACCACAAGGTCAGTGGTTCAAACTCACCAGCACTCTTCACAAACCCAGAGTTGGAACTGACTTTCTGGCACTTAACAAAATATTGCATGTAGTCATGCTTTTGGGGTGTTTTTGACCCCCACTCCCAGTTCTGGGACTGGCCCTTTAATTGGCCTGAATCCGAACTACACATAATCCCAGGGGTAATGGTTTCATGACCCAACTTGAAATAGAATGGAGTTAGAATTTTGACAATTGAGAGTTTGTGCCCTCTGTCTGGATGGCATGATGTGCAACCAGCTTGAGGTCTAGGGTAACGTATGGATGGCAGTGCTGAGAATTGTAACAAAACTCCTCACTGTGCCTAAACTCACCACTGCTCTGGCCTCTTAAGTCAATCCACAAATCCTCTTTATTGTTTAAGTGATTTTGTTGGTTTCTTTGTTATTTCCAACCAAGGCATCCTAACTGAAATACTGACTTTTCAAAATGAGTGGAATCAAGTTATCACTGTTGTATGTGTAAATCTTCCTGGAAAATCTGTTGTAGGTATAGATACTAAGATGTCTTAATTGACCAGGTGAGTAATAGCAAATGAAATGATGGTTAACTGTATGCAAGTCCATGAATGAGAACTGCTACCACAGCATGTTTAGAAACTCCTTACTCTTTCCTGCCAAAACCTTAGCAGTCATTTGTTAGAGAAACCTCATCAACCTCACAGTGTTCCTGGTGTGGTGCTATAGGATAAGCACTGGATTGTTAAGGTCAGAGGCTTAAACTCACCAGCTGCTCCCTGGAGACCTGTATAGGGTCGCTATGAATTGGAATCTACTTGAAGGCACAAATGACTCAATCTGGTGTTGGGGAGTCTGTGAAGGCTGTAGGAGTAAATAGAGATTTGGCTGTTTGTTGGGGGCATTCATGGCTTTTCAAAGGACATAAATATGGATGGCTGAACCATCGGAAATTGGGGGCTGCCTGCTTTTTCTGAAAGTCATATGCAACGGATAACATCATCTGTCCAAGAAAGTATTGGGGTAATAATGTTAATTGGCTTTGTAATCTTACAAAAGATCTCATATCTAACTTTTAGGCTTTTTTTTTTTTTCCCTGTGGTTCAAAACTCTTAACTCCCTGTTGTCATTAGGATAAAGTTAAAAAGGACCCCTGCTGAATCTATTCTCTACTTCTCAAGGCATTTTGTACCACATCTCAAGGCCTACATTAAGTCCAACTGAATCTCAGTTCCTTATAGGTTCTAGGTTCTTGCTTTCTGCCTTTGGCCTTGTAATGGTAACTGCCTCCCCATTAGTCTTTTTCTGTGGTGCTGTGGGTTAATGCACTGGACTGCAATGTCCGTTTGAACTGCAAAGTTGGTGGTTCAAGCTCACCAGTCACTCCTTAGAAACCCTATACAGAGTCACTCAGGGTCATAACTAACTCGACTGTACATAACAACTTTCATGTTTCAGATTAACTGTCAGGTCACTTCCTTCAGGAAGCCTACCTTACTAGCCCCTTTCTAGGATAAGTTCCCCTTCTGAGAGTTCCTTCACCACTCTTTATTTCTCCCTTCATCAAAGTATACTTTAGTACTTGTCAATGTGGCTATAGCCTCCATGGGAAGTTCTGTGAGGACAGTGACATGTCTCGCTTACTCAGTGTATCTTCAGAGAGTAAACACTAGGCCTGATTCAATAAAAACACTAGGTGGATATCTGAATGGCTACACCTCTGTGTTAGGCTCCTGCTCTATTAGGTTATTTGATTTTCAGGAAAATATTCATGGTATGTTTCAGAGGACATAAAAGTATTATGCTAAATGCTCAAATTCTTGGATGACTTTAGATAAGCACAACTTTAAAAACAAACAAACCAAGATTCTAATAAATATTCCTTTGTCTCATGTTCAAGAATGTTAAAGGATAGCCACAGAGGACTAGAGTGGAGAGTGACG